TTGGGGGAAAAGTAGTTTTAAAGAAGAATTATAGTCTGTCTTCTGAATGATAAAGCGGTATAACTAGCATTAAACAGAGCTGAAATTTTGTAATGACCAAACCTCAGCTCATCCAAATCCCCAATAGCATTAACTCCCTAGAATTGGGCTGTAAATTCGATTAGCCTTACAACAGACATGAGATACAAATGTTCTTCCTTATACAGTCATATTAAGTGGCTGCAAAAGAAGACGACAAGGCATTGTAGAGCAGCGCATCCAACCTTTTTAAGCTAGGGGCAAGCGCCAGCTCGCCCAGCTTTCAAAACTACATTTAAATACCGGGTAATTTCATGAATTCTGATATAACATGAGGATTACATATGGTGAGGTGAGGGGGGATTTAGCAGCTGCGGTCTTCCTGTAAATCATCCAGAAGCTTTTCTTCAACTTTAGTTCTTTTGACTGACATTTTCCATGTAAGCTACATTGCTGAACGTTAGCTTCTGTCCATGCTTGTTTAATTTGGTGCTTTTTTTATAGATCTTCATTACTCTTGCACTCTAACATGAAATTTGATGCTGTAACTCCTGGTGTGTTCCAGTTTTACATGGAACTAATCGGAGTATTGGATAAAAATTTTTCTTTAAACAAGCTAAAGGTTATAGAGGCATCCTAGAGTGGATTTCTAGAAAGGAGAGTCAGGGACTAGAAGGAACAGTAAATTATGAGACCTTAAAGATTTGCAGGTCCACAGAGTCGCAGGAGTTTCTCTGGTGAGCTGGCGGCGTGCGCCATGGCACGACTCCCCGCTCGCGGCTATTGCAGCCAGCACCACCCGCAACGCTGCTCCCGGGTTTTGGTGCTGCCTAGTACAGCACATGGGCGCCCTGAGGTATGGGGTACCCATGGCCTTCAAGCCACGCACCATGCATCTGGTGATCCAAGAGGTCCCGAAGTATGCACCTCCTGCCAGGCCAGCAGTTGCAGAGTTTTGCTGTTATTGTTGTTAATTTATTGTGCGTTTATTTTCATTTCTTTCACTAGCTTGCTCTGATAACACATTTCTGGCGTAGCTTTATCTTCTGATCCCCTGGTTTTCGTGTCGTTTGGACACAGTCCCATTTGGAGTGAACTTCTGAAATGAACCCTGATTCACTGATGAATCACGCTACTTCTAAAAAGTAAAAGAAAAAGCTAGTGCGGTTCACTAGTTATGGAAACTAATTTCTAACATCAAGAATAAAACCACAGATATATACAAATGGAAAATAAGAAACAGTTTTATGGTAATGAGAAATGGAAACATGGGGAAAATACCGTTATGAATTTTCAGATCCAGTATTCCTTTTTATCTCTTAATTGGTTTACACAGCAGTTGTTTTATAAATACATATTTGGCCCTGCTAATGGAGATTTCACAATACACCTTAAATAGTGCAGCCCGGCTGAGAACCAGGTGGTGCTTTACCATGTGCTGCTTAATTTAGGGGATAAATGGGAACTACTGTTTCTCCCTCATATTTGGTACTTTGTAGGACTTGGACACTATAACCAAGGCTTGTGCATGTTGGGAATTAAATCTTTTAATTGTTTTAAATAAGGTGCCTCAATTTATCTTGTAATCTCCATTTTATGGCCCATTCCCGTGAACTGCATAGCAGTGGTGACTCATGACTCATTAAGAGATCTGTCTCCTTGGGCTTGCCGGCCAGCTCCCTCCTCCACCAGGGACAGTATGGCTTGGGCCTGAAGCCGCCTGGCTTCATGCAGGTGCAGGAAGAGACCGTTTGCATTTCTGGAGTTTACACACCGTCTTTATGTCCGCCAGCGCAAATGCGGTGTGCTGCATCGAATTGGCCAGTCTGCCATCGCTTGGGTGGCTCTGATCTGAAGTTAAAATTTCCCTTCTCACCATCTGTCCCGACTTGCCAAACAAAGCTGTTGTGCCTCCTGACGGTTTTACAGCTTCACAGGAACTGCTAAAATAAGCTAGCTCTTCAAACACCTGTTGAAGAGTCCTTATGAAAGTCCTCATAAATAACTATGCATAATGACAACACCTCTCTGGCAATAACTGTTTTTCTGTTTCTTCAGTTTGGGGTCTCAAACGAGCAACTGGCTTTGCCAAACTGTGGGTTTGTTCTTTTATTCAATACTGTTATAACCAATAAAATGTCTAGCCGAACTGCCAAATTACAAATAACAATGTTATTACTGTTACTACCGAGAGCACCTTTTAGTAGCGTCCACTTGGCAGCTGGCTGTGGGTACAGCTGGTCCTGCTCATGCTACGGCAGGCAGGGACCTCTCATTGCTTCAGCAGTCCTGCGTCGCACAGGTGGACACCGATGGAGGGAGGCACTGACTTGAGGGAAGCACCCCAAGATGGTAGTTGAGCCACAGGTCACTCTCTCAGTGGGAATTTACACACCTACCACAACCTACCTACACCACCTACCTACACCTACCTACACACCTACCTACGCAGACCTCAGATATCTTGCAGGCCATCACCTCCACTCTTATGCAAAGTCAAAGGCTTGAACATGTGGATAAACAAACAGCCCAGTTCCCTACATTACTGGACTTCAACAGATTTCCCCACTTTCTTCTCAAGAACTCTTCTCACTGATTCCCCCACCCCACGTAGTAGAAAGTAGACACCCTCCCATGCTGGGAGGAGGTGAGAGGAAGAGTCTGTACCTTGCAAATCCTTCCAAAGATGGATGTTGTTGAAATACTTCCTTGCTCCCAAAAGGAGATATAGATCGAAACCCACACTAAGAAACCAAACATTGTAATCTGTCATCCAGGATTGGGGATGATGATACGATCCTCACTACCCTTTCAGTATATCAAGGAAATTGATTTACAGCTTTCGATGTGAAAGACAAGCTTTCACAGAAACATTCATCCTGCACATAAAAGGGTGATTTGAACTGGGTAAACTTTACTACAGCACATCACTTTTCACTGACTCACATAAGGTTTTATAAAGGTCTTAGCGGCAGCACTTTAAATACACACTAAACCTCATTAAGCACTTACGCGTTCCAGATGATAATGTCATGATATTCTTGCAACCCATCACAGCCAGATGCCTCAGAGGCCAAACCCCACCTTTCCCAACATCATGAAAACTGACACATTCATCAAATTTTGCTCCAAGGATTCCTTTCAAGTTCATCCCTTAATCTCCATTTCTCCACGGGTCTGTGAAAGTGTTTCTTCGCACAGTGGTGTCGCATCCAAGGAGGATGTGGGAATTCACAGCAGTGCTGTCAGGCTCATTCCCAAGCTACGTTACACTATGACAAGGTTTCCCTATGGCTACTCCCTAAATTTTTTGCCAAGAGAAAATTTGGCCTTTCCCATTGCCCAGGATCCCCATTTAGCCTGCAGTGCTTCTCAAACCTCATTCCAGCCATGAACAACTTTGCACTCCTTAAATACCCAGACTGTTAGCCTCCTATTTGCACAGAACAAAATCCTTCCAGTAATCCCCTATATAGTTCTTCTCCTTGGCTGAGGAGTTAAAGGTGATATACTTTCTAGTCTGAAACTTTTAAAATGGATCTTAAGATGCTTCTTTGACACTCATGCATGTAAAAATATCAAAGCCCAGGTCTTGGTGACCTCCTCTGGATATATTAAGATATTAAAGGTAAGCATATGCACTAAGTGTTTGCAGGACTGAGACTACAGGGACTTAGTACGCCACAGTCACAGTGATAGCTTGCCTTACTAATTTACTAGGTGCAAACTTAGGATTCAAATCATGGGCTCTTCCTGAAAGTAGCAAAAGATTTTTTCATTAGAAAAATTCAGTAATATGCAGTAACATTGGCAGCAAGCCAATCAATTGATTTTGGGCTAAACCAACATATTTCTCCTATCATAAACTCTTATTGTCAACAAACAAACAGAAAAGCCTAGATTTGCTCTGCTTTGTGGAAGGCCTGGCATCTAGTCCCAGGAATTTCTGTGGTTAATAATGCAAACGCCACACTCAACTTATGACTGCACTGGAGAAGCCAAGATTCATACTGTTCAATGGCACCATCGTCAGTCAACTACAAAGCTGATTATTAACTGGCTTTAATAAGAAGTCATGTTCATCTGTCCTAAGTTAGGAAAAAACATGGTATCAGTGCTTCTGAACTTGCACGGTGTGGTGGTACGATCTCAGGAAATTTACTGTTGCAGGAGACATATCAAGAGTATGGGTCCCCCAGAAAAAGGGAAAATCTCTATACATTTAATCTGCTTTAAACTGAGAAAACAAAAATGGTGATGACATAGAGTCACTTCTGGGAAAGTCTTGTCTTAGTTTATTTTTCTTAGAGGGCTGATTGGTTTTGTTTAATTATTTGTGAAGAAATTTGTAGATCCAGATCTTCAGGTTGTTTCTTCATTTTGGAAATATAAAAATAGCTTGACAAGACCAAATCATGCAGCATTCTGGCCATATAAATGCTCAGAAAGATCCCATAAATTAAATACCAATTCCCAAAGTTTGGAATTAACTTTTGCTGCTTTGAAAATGGAACTTACTGCCCTAATTCCTGGTTTTTCTTTATGATTCAAAACTAAAAGTATTCAAAAAAACATTTAACCTGGTAATAGAATTAGAGCCCATCTTCTTCTTAGGTGATAGTATAGATATTTGTGGGAGTCTAATACCATAAAAAAAATGACATAGTATGTTTATTATTATCACTTGAAAGCGACTTTTAGCGCAAAATAAAATTATTGGAACATTTGTTTGTCAAGCAGAATTTTAGAAAATGGTTTTAGTTATATGTTTACCAGAAACGTATAGCTAATTGCCAGCCAACTCCTCCCCATCTTCTTCCCTTCTACCTGTATGCATGCGTGCTTTCAAAATGGTACTAATATATGTAGGCACCTTGTTCTTACAGTTAAACCTCAGAGAACTGAATGAATCTGGATCTGAGAATAGGTTTTTCATTCTTCCAAGGCTGACAAGTATTTCACGGTCTGTGTTTCCTTTTCAGCTGACCCCCTGGTTGGAAGTATTGCCACTCAGTATATGACTAACAGAGCAGAGCACGACAGAATGGCCAGACAGTGGACCAAGCGATATGCCACATAGGAACCTACTCTAGGATTTGCTGGACCTGTGCAAGCACATTCACTAAGTGCATCAATAGCCCTTCCCTTCATTCTTATTTTTTATTAAATTTTGAACCATTTTGTGACAAAAGGTTGTCCTTACTTTCCTTTTGGTTTTATTTTTATTTTTATTTGTTTTGTTTTTTTTTGTTCTGTTAACTTGAAAGTTGTTTCCCTCAAATGTAGACAGGGAATTTTGGTTATCAGTGCAAAGAATGTTGGATCTGTAATAGTATAGAGCTTTGTCACAAAGCTTTGTATTAATGTGTGGGTTCTTTTTCTTTCATGTGGTTTTTGGGAAAACAAACAAATCCAGAATTATATCTCGTTTCTACTTAAATGTAGTGTTTAGGGTCATTTTTTTGTACTGAAGTCTTTAATGGTGGGTGCATGCTACTGGGAACAAGTTTTGTATAAAAGCTTAAAATCAAGAATCACTGTGCATTACTAAGACTGTGTTTATCACTAGCCCTTTGTTTCCCACACAAAAGGCTATTGCGTTGAACAAATTAATATGTATTTTGATTTACTTAAAAAAAAAAAAAAAAGTGCTTGTAAATTTCTTAGGGACCTGCCACTTTTGACTGTGGATCAGTTGATGTACACTTGTATTATTAAAGCACTCAATAAAACACTGTGGCTGATAAATGCACTTCTTGCAAGACAGTGCTTTTGCGTTTGTGCAGTATAGGCTGCATAGTCTTCACATAATACAACTGCAGGTTAAGCAACTGTGTTAGACCTGAACTATTCATTTCGTCTCAACAATGCATTTCTTAACTTAGGATTCTTCATTGTGTATATCTTTCATATACAAACATCTTCCAAATTTGAAGGCCTTTCTTTCACATGCCGGTGCTCAGCTCAGCTATTCTGAAGCCTCTTGCTGCATCTTTTATACTACGGCTTCACTATATCCATCTTGTTACATTTAAAATAGTTGGCTATAAAAATAGCCTTGCAGTGAAAGCAGAATATTGATGATGATTTTATACAGCAGGCCTCATTTTGCCATTCTCCAAGCTCTTTAATTGTAAAAGCAACTGTTACTTAAAAAAATAAATGAAGGTTTTCGATGGGAAAATTGAGCCCATTGCACCAATCATTCCCAGCACGTTCAATGGCAAGGGTATTTCGATTCAGATTTGACCTTCAGGCTAATTTTAGCTATGCAGCCATAGAAGGAAAACTTCTACTTGGCTAAGGAAATGTGTGGGTGTTGTGATTTAGAAAATATATGCTGTGATGCTGATATCTAAATGTTCTTTGTGTTGCAAGGCATATTGGAAAATCCCTGTCTCATATAATTAAACGTTACAGATGCTATAGACAGTGCTTGCCTGCCCCCTCCCCTCTCTCCTTGCCTCTTATGTTTAAAGAAGATCCTATCTTAAAGAAGATACATTACAACAGGGACAGTGTAAAGATACAGGGGGACCCAATCCCATTACACTCCAACCCAATTCAACCGTCCTGAAAATTAAAGCAGTCAAGGTGACACCACAGGGCCTCTACGCCAACCACTGCGCTGCTCAGCATTTCCGGGTTGATTCATTTTTCTCTCAGCCGTTCACTAATAACTGAACAGACGTACAGCTTGCATCTACTGGTGAGTTGTCCTCTGTGCGAATAGAAGCTGAACGTTGACTTTGTTGTAGGTAGTATGTAACTAACAGTGACTTTGTTGCAGGTAGTATATAACTAACGGTGACTTTCTTGTAGGTAGTATATAACTACTGCCCTAAGAACCATGGGGATCTCAAAGAAATAATCAGTCTCTTTTGATCAAAGCAAACAGAAAGTCTTCTGGTGTCTGTAGAAGCCAACTGTTTAGAAGCCCAGCCATACAAATTTGAGGCCAACAGATCCTAAATACAGATGTGAAAGAACAGTAACAGTTCAAAAATAAAACAGAACAAAACCCCAAAACCAGACTTCTCTTAGCCAGAACACCTTCTCAGGACAACTGTTGTATGTGCTTCCCTTGGAAGTTGCTCCCACCATACAACTTGACACAAAGTACCTCCACGTCTGAAGGGAACCTTCCTGCTGTAAAAATACAACATAGGGGTAAAAGGATAACAACTGCGTCTTGCCCAATATTGTAACTTTATTACTTCGCCTCTTATCCCATCTGCTGAAGAGATTCCTGCCATAAAAGACCTGTATCCCCCGAGACGGCAATTAATGGGCAATTTCAGATTTCTTATGAATTACTTTAAGCGTCTGCCACTCTGCAGCCTTTATTTACACTCAGCTGAGCAGAATGCGGTGATTTCCCAGGTACATTTTAAACCTGCTTGAAAAAGAAGTCTTTAATTCCTACTATCTTTTTCTTTTTTTTTTTTTTCCCCCAAAATATAAAGAAGACATTATAATCAGAAGAGCCTGTTGTATCTCTAATGAAGATGTAACTGAAAGACAGCTGAGATACCTTGGAGGGGGAATCACAGAATTCTTAATAAATGTCTATTCTCACTTCATCAGCTCTCGCTTGCCTTCCTTACTGATCAAAAGCTGTGCAGTTTGAATTTGCAGGTAAGTTGCCCTCTGTGTGAAGCTGAACAGTGGCTTTGTCCTAGATAATATAAAACTACTGCCTTAAGAACCACAGGGATCTCAAAGAAATAATCAGAAAGGATCAACCCACGTTGATTAAAGCAGATGCAGAGTCTTCTGGCGTCTGCAGGAGCCAAATGTTTGCAAGTCTGGCCATAAAACATTCTCCTCTATTTGCAAATCTGCTCTATTTGCCTCCCAAGTAATTCTTTTTCTTCATCTGCTAAACCTGGGAAATATGAAGCATTATTTGAAACCTGCTGTTGTTGCTGAGGAGAAATGATCCATCCCCAACAGAATTCAGTCTGCCAGCAGAGCCCCACTGAACAATAATGTATTGGCATAGTCTCTTTTTCTTCTTTTTCCTGCATCTGGAAAATATTGCACATTATTCTGTCCCACCTTTGCTCTTCAGATCCTCTGCAAATTTAGCTGATTCCTGCTTCCTCTTTTATGCCAAATCATGTTTCTAACTTCTTCTTAGACGAAGTCCACATGATGCCCTCCTACAACTGGGTATGAAGATCATTCAGATGACTCACGCATAGTAAAACATATTCAATAGCATATGGTTGTCCTAAAACAGCATATAAAGGCCATCACTTTGGCAAATCTCAGTGTTTTCTCAGGGGCACACAAATGCTAAAACTGAGTTTTGTTCTTTAAAGACATCTCACAACTTTTCTCAATTCAGCTGCAATATCAAGTAAAGAATATTTAATCTCCAGTAACCCCAGCTAAACATCAGTGTCCCATACCATTTGAGTTCAACTCAGATGAAGCAGAAGTCAGGGAAATCTCCAAACTGTGTTTACTCATTCACTAATTATTGAAGTGGCCTTCACATCCCCCTATCCAACTCACCAGCTGATTTCCTTCTCCAGAAAATTACAGAACAACGTAGCTTAAATTAAGGTACCAAAAAAATCCTGCATTTCCAGACTGCTCCAGGAGTGAGTTTTAGCAGCTCATAACCCTTTTGGTTACACGCATTGCGGGTGATTGGAGCCAAACAGTTAAAATCCATTAAAACCAGCTGCTGTCCCATGAATAAGGCAGGAATAATTCCTCTTCAAAGATCTTTCTTCAGGTTTTCATATTGTGAGCTGCAGATGGATGCACAGTCATATCTCATGCCGAAACAACGGACAGCAGCTCACAGCCCTTCTTCCCTGCTACCCTGTGCAATGATACTGTATAAGTATAAAAGACCAGAGGTGTCGGGCCCCATAAACCCATAAATTGTGCCCCTCTTCAAAGCCCTCTCCAGCTTTTAAATTCTGACCCAATGCACGCTCTGGGTGCAGTGCATGCTCTGAGCTGCTCTTTCCGCGTGTTGTTACAGCATGCTCCCTCTCGATGGCTGTCTTATCTCCGTCATTAATCCCTCAGGCTTACTCCTCCTTCTCATTCACCCTTTCCTTCTCTCTGGCTGCTTTCTTCTGCTTGACTGATTCATTACTCGCAGCTGAGAGGCCACCCAAGATACTGATCCCCTTTCAAATAGCTCTTCCTGAAGTTGCCTGAGCATAGTATTTTCTTTGTCCCCTGAAGTACTTGCCCAGAAAGTGCCCCCAGGCCCCCATCTGCTCCCTCTTGCCTGAGGCAGTGCCTACTGTAGCAGGAAAAGCAGAAGCGGCTCTGCTGGAGTATGAAGATGCCATGCGATGATTCAGACAGTGCAGCAACTCCCAGTTACTCCATCCCCAGCATTATCCTGGAGTCCCTTTTCTCCTTTCCAGTTCTCAGAAACTTCTCTTGTCTCTGAAGTTGGACATCTTGCCCCAGGCCCAATGCGCTTGCCTGCATTTTGAGTTGGGCAGACTGAAACAAAGACTCGGGGTAAAAATTCTGGCACCTCAAAAGTCCGACTGTCCAGCCTTGGCAGCCACCATTCCTGAAGAGCCAGCTCTGCCTGCTGGTTTTCCATCCTCAGTTGCTCTGTCTTCTCTTCTCCTTTCCATTCCCCTTCATTTCTCCTCCTATCATTTCCTCCACGACATCAATACTAAATCTTGAAGTTTCCTTCTCCCCCCCTTCCCTCACCTCAGTCACGGCTCTGTTCTTCCCCCAGTGCTAACAAGACCATGTCACGTAACACTGGGCCTCCCGGAGCTGCTTGAAATCCCCTGATTTTTAGGTCTTACAAGCAAGAAAGAGCTTTGTATGAATTAAGTACTTCCTCATTGTGCCACGCCTGGCACTGGCTATGAACTAAATCACTTCTCCCACACACGTCATTAGCAGTAATGAAATCCGGGCTGGCCTGCCTCCTTAGCATGACATCCATATGCAAATGCATTTCCTCAGCTCAAACAGTCTGCAGAGCCGATGCCTGGCTGCTTGGGATGCCTCCAGCAGCCTCTCTGAGGTCACAACTGGAATATATTTGGGGACTACTATTTACCAGGAGGAGTTTTATGATGCCTTTAAATCCATCATTCCGCACCCTAATTCCATCATGAACTTTAATAGGGACCTGCAGCACTTTGGGATAATGAAAAAGGGCAAAGCAAGAGATCCCTTTCATGTCTACTTTGATTGTGAAAGAAAGTAGTCATGGGCTAATGGAAGGTTGAAATAAAGACAAAGCTACTAAGCCATCCTAATCCCTTGCCAGTCCTAAATTAGCAAAATCCCACTTCATGTAACGGCTAAGTAAAAGCTGTATTTACTCCTATAGGTTTTGCAGAACCAAATGAAAAAAAAAAAAAAAAAGAACACTGTTCAGGTGTTCCAATAGTAAACATGGATGGTCAGATCATGCGTTTCAGGAGAGGCTTTCTAGGGAAATGCTTCCACTGGGAAAAGCTTCCCAGCACCCTCATCTCCTCCACCTCTGTCGGGCTTCACGCAGGACTGTCCCCTTGGCAGTCTCTTGGGAAACAAGGGCTGGAAACAAGCACCTCGGGTCATTCCTTATTGTCACTGCTCCTCAAATACACTCACTCACAACAGGCATTTGTTGCTGCAGAATCGGCGCTGGGGTCCCCTTTTGTGTCGCTGAGGACCTTGGGGTCAAGAAAAACAAAGGGTCACACTTCAGTTTCTGTGAAATGCCTCCTTTCTTTGCAGTTGACTCATAGCCTTTGT